CTGTGGCCACCTCCACCAGCATAATAAGAGACAGGAAAATGACAAACGTGATCATAAGACAGTAGTTCTCCTTGCAGGTCCCACAGCAACCCACAAGGGCCACCAGGAAGAGGAAGGCACCCACTGCAATGATGACCACAGGCAACAAGGAGCCAGGAGTGGGCCCTTGTTTAATCTGACTCAAGAGGACCTGTGCTCCTACACCCACAGCGATCAGTCCCACTGCACAGGCGCAAAAGGCCAGCAGAAAGACGTAGAGCAAGAATTTGACACATTTCATCCCTCCTTCCACCGCCATGGCTGCCGGGTCTGGGATCCCCGAAGCTGTGCACTCCTCTCCTAAGAAATTATTTTTTTTCTATTGTAAATTCATTTTTAAGTGGAGACTATACACATGAACTTCATCTGGTAGACCACAGAGGAATCAGATTGACTACATCTGCAGAAAGATATTTTGGAGAGTCTTGATATCAGCAGTTAAAACCAGGCCGGGGCTGACTGTGGAACAGACCATAAACTACTCATATGCAAGTTCAAATCAAAGTTGAAGAAAATGAAAACAAATCCGTGAGAACCAAAATATGACCTTGATTGTATCCAGAATTAATACAGAAAGCAACAAAAGGAGATGAAAGGACTACATAGAGTCACTGTACCAAAAAGAACTGGTTGACATTGAATCATTTCAGAAAGTTGTATATGATCAAGAATCGATAGTACTGATCCAAGCAAGATGAAATTACTGACAGTTTCAATCCTTTTTCCACTTACCATGATGTTGACTGTTGATCCTGTGGTGAGGACTTTTGTTTTCTTGATGTTGTGATAAAATCCTTACCAAAGGCTATAGTTCTTGATACTCTGCGGCAAGCATTTTAAGTCCTCCTCAATTTCCACAAACAAGGTTGTGTCATCTGCATAACACAGGTTGTTGACAAATTTTCCTTAGATCCTGATACAACACTCCTCTTTCCAGACTCCAGTTTCATGAATTATTTCCTCAGCATACAGACTGAATAAGTATGAGAAAAGATACGTTCCTGACACACATCCTTCCTGATTTTAAGTCATGCAGTTTGGACAACAGCTTCTTGATCTAGGTATAGATTTATCATGTGCACAATTAAGGTTCTGGGATTCCCATGCTTCTCAAAGTTAGTCGTAATAGAGTTGGCAAAAGAGAGGAAGACCATCAAGGAGATGGACTGATGTGGTAAGATCTTGAGGATAGTGTAAGGTTCAAATCCATTGCCTGAATAAATTGATATGAGTAGTAGTGGACTTGAAGGTATAACAACAACACAACTACACTGCAGCCTTCCACATGGATACACCACAACACCAAGATGTAACTGTAATACTCCCTAAATGTGGTCACCAAGAAAATGTCTCCAGCATACTCCTTAAGTTTGGGTTCTTCCTCGTTAGCTCTGATAGCTAGTGGTAAGGAGTTGCACTGCCAACCCAATGGCTGGCAGCTCAAATCCACCAACTGCTCTGAGGGAGAAAGATGGCCCATCTCTTCAGTGCAATTTATAGCCTTTGGAACCCACTGGAAGGCCAGATATGAGTTGGATCAAAGTCCATGGCACATAACAACAATGGCCACTTTCCGTTAGGGAATGATGATGGCCTAGAAGGTAAAAAGTTGTACTGCCAACACAAAGGTGTTCAATTCAACCAGCTACTTTAAGAGAGAAAGATGAATGATTTCTTCCCATTTCATGACTACAGCTTCTGAAAACTCTGCCGGAGGGACAGCTATGGGTGGTTTGGTCATAACCACCTCGTTTTACCTAAGAATGGCAAAACGAGCCCAGGCTTTTCTATGCAGTTAAAAAAAGAAGGTTATTAGAGAAACTAATTTGCAAAGGGAGACATGGAGAGTCAAAGCAGAAATTATTTATGACTTATTAGACGAAGGAGGAAATGATTTGTTTTTAAAGGCTCTGGAAGTTGGGGAAAGAATATCCTGTTTATTTGAGGGTTTATTATTGACTTTTGTTTGATCACTAATATACGTTTCAGCTAATAACATCAAATACAATTATATAACAATTATTTAGGAGAGTTCTGGGGGCCTAGTGGCAAGAAGCTGCACTGCAATCCTAGAGGTGAGTTGTTCAAATCCACCAGATGCTCTTATGCTCTGCTGGAGGAGGACAATCTCCTCCTGTACCAATCAGATCTGATTTGACAGCGCGCACACACACACACACACACACACACACACACACACACACACACATTACTTATGGGTCCTATCAAAAACGTTTTTTGGAATGGTAACTAATATGGATTTCTTCCATTTTCTTGACAAGGAAACTGTCTTTCAAATCTTTGACTAGTGAGTACATCCAGAGCTGCATCTATTTTTTGAAACATGTCAGTCGGTCTTCATCAATTCCTGAGGCCTTACTTTTTGCCAATGTCTTCAGTGCACCTTAAACTTCTTCACTACCAATGGTCCTTGATAACATGCTATTTCCTGATATGTTTCAGTGTGAACCGATTTTTTTGGCACTATGATTCTGTTATTTCTTTCATCTTCTTTTGATGCTTCCTGGATCATTCAAAATTTAGCCTCTAGATAGGGAGCTCTGGTGGCCAAGAAGCTGTGTTGCAATCCTGAAGGAAGGTGCACAGTTTTAATCCACCAGATGCTCCGCTGGGGGAGGAGGGGCAATCTCCTCCTGTGCCAGTTGGATCCAATTCAACGGTACACAATAACAACAATAATAAGATAAGATTTAGCCCATAGAAACCTTCAGTATTGCAAATCAATGCTTGAATTTACCTTTCCATTATTTCAGCTTGAGAAATATTGAGTGTGATCTTCCCTTATGATTTCCTGTCTCTAGTTCTTTGCACGTTTCGTTTAAGTACTGTGGTTTATCTTCTTGAGCTACCCTTTTAAGTCTCTGGTTCATCTTTTTTACTTCTGTATTTTCTCTCTATGTTTTGATCTCTCTACATTCTAGTGCAATTTTCAGAGCATTTTCTGGCATCCGTTTTGGTTTTTCTTTCTCCTCTATCTTTCCCCCTTTTTGTTTTCTTCATGGATGATTTCATTATTGTCATCCCTCAACCCATACTGTCTTGTCGTTATGTGCCTTAATGCTAAATATGACTCATAACAGCCTTATGAAAAACAGATCTGAACTCTGTGCTATCCTGTGCTATCCTCATCAGCACATTTGAGCCCATTGCTGTAGTGACTGTGTCAACTCATTTTGTCAAAGATTTTCTCCTTCACTGACCCTCCACCTTCCCATGCATGATGCCTAAAATATGTGAGACAAAGCTTCAATATTTTTGCCTCTAACCAACACTCTGGTTGCACTTTCTGCAAGACATATCTGCTTCTTCTTTTGGCAGTCCATGGATAGTCAGTACTATTCTTCAACACCACAACTGAAAGGCATTGATCATTTATCTATCATCCTTATTCATTGTCTAGCTCTCAGACACATAGCAAGAGATTGGAAAGGCTATAGCTTGAATCAGGCACACCTTAGTCTTTAAACTGACATCAAAACTCTTCAGGGCTTTGAAGAAGTCCCCAACAGAAGACTTTACTAAAGGTAGAAGTCTTTTGATCTCCTGACTGCTGGTATCAAGGGTTTGGATTGTGGATCCAACTAAGATGAAATCATTGGCAATTTCAATCTTTCTCCATCTATGATTCCTATTGGCTTAGAGTGAGGATTTTTGTTTTCTTGATGTTGGGATGTAATCCATATTGAAAGCTGTAGTCTTTGATATTCTACAGCAAGCACTTCAAATCCTCCTCAGTTTTAGCCAGCAAGGCGAGTCATCTGCAAATGCAGGTTGTTGATGAATCTTCCTCCAAATGTTACATTCTTCTTTTTTTTTCTTATTAATTTTAATGAAAATTTACAGAGAAAGTTTCCAGTCATTCATTGTTGCACTTTTCTCCCTCCCTATCCCTTTCCCCCCAACTCACACTTCTCTTTAAAACGAAAAAGAAAAACTCTTTCATTGTTATGCAATCCCTCCCTCCAAGTCCACTCCACTATGCACCCTTCACTCTGGACTTCTGTAATGACAAGAATACCCATTCATGTGTCCCTTTTAAACAGTTCTCTCCCTCATCTGTCTTAATGCAATATACATAATTCCTTCCCTCTTTTTCTGTCTTTCCTCAACCCGGATGTCAGTCCCATTTTACAACAGTGGCCCTAAGCAATATTTGTCCTTTTGTGACTGAGATATTTCATTCAGCATAATGTCCTCCAGGGTCACCTATTTTGAATAATATTGCATGAGTTCCTTGTTTTTCAATGCTGCATAGGATTCTATTGTGTGAATATACTAGAGCTTCTCTATCCATTCGTTTGTTCGTGGGCACTTGGGTTGTTTCCAGCTCTTTACTATTGCGAACAAAGCTGCAATAAACATGGGTGTGCATATATCTGCTTGGGTGGCAGATATGGTTTCTTTAGGATAAATGCCCAGTAGTGGAATTGCTGGGCCAAATGGTATTTCTGTTTGCAACTTTTTGAGAAAGCGCCATACAACCTTCCACAGCGGTTGCACCATTTTACACTCCCACCAACAGTAAGTAAGGGTTCCACTTTCTCCACAACCTTGCCACCATTTGATGTTTGCTGTTCTGTTAAATGTTGCCAGTCTTACTGGGGTGAGATGATATCTCATAGTTGTTTTGATTTGCATCTCTCTTAGAGCTAGGGATTTTGAAGATTTCTTCATGTGTTTGTTGGCCATCTGAATGTCTTCTTTGGTGAAGTGTCTGTTCCTATCCTGCGTCCATTTTTCAGTTGGGTTATTTACTCTTATCTTGTGTTGTCCATTCTTCTTCTTAAAGCCCAGCTTCTCAAATAATAATTCACTGAGCATACAGATTAAATAGGTTTGGGGAAATGATATAATCCTGGCACACACAGTTTCTTGATTTTAAACCATGCCATGTTCTCTTGTTCTGTCTGGATAGCAGTTTCTTGTTCTAAGTCTAGATCTTGTATAAGCTTACTTAAGTGTTCTGGAATCACATTCTTCACAATGTTAGCTATAGTTTGTTATAATCCTACTACACTGCCGTAGTGGTAAAGACAGCATGGTACTGGTACAATGACAGACACATAGATCAATGGAATCGAATTGAGAATCCAGA